GTCGGATTCCGTACGGAGGTGGTACTCACCACGCACGGATGCCGTACGATTGCCCACGTTTTTGCACGTAGACAGCACGCAGAAGCACGTACGGCGAGTTGTGACCGAGGCTTAAATGAAGCCATGGTTACTTACTTGTACTAAGTAATGTCTTGTCAGTCATAAGGCATGTCGAGTTTTGAAATGACCCATGGTTTCTTACTTATACTTAGTGACGTCTTCATAGTCATTGGGGAGTTATGTGTAGAAATGCACTCATGATTACTAACTTGTAAGTGTACTAAGAGTTGATTAAGACTTAAACCTTGATCTATATCTACCTACTTGTATTTTTACTTTGTAAGTTCTAAATGATTATTGTTATGTTATGTTATGTTATGTTATGTTATGTTATGTTATGTTATGTTATGTTATGTTATGTTATGTTATGTTGTTTCGAGGCTTTAGTACATAAATGCCCCTTGGTTACTTGCTCATGTACACAGGCTGCTCGTATATAGTATCGTGTCGTTGACCATTTGAGGGAGCAGATTATAGAGATTCAACAATGATCATGATCACGTACTTGTGTTTATCTAACTAGTCATAAAAAGAATGAATAGAGAAATGACATATGGTTCTTTTTTTATAATCAAACTTTTGTTTGCAAATTTTGGAGTAATTACTTGTACTCTGCTATTCTGCATGGTCTCATGAGTCATATATGAGGCGTACGTCTAGAAATGCACACATGGCTACTTGGGTGTACATAGCAAGGGTAGCGAGGTTTCTCTCGTAGTATTAGAGGCCTGAAATGTATACATGGTTAGTTTACCTTGTACAACGACAAATATATGAGCACTTATATCGGAAATTGTTATTGTTTGGCCACAGCAAGTACATTTTATGGATAAAATCCTCTGGAAGACTTTCACATCTGATGCAATAGGGCGGAGAAAACAAGGCGGGAAAAATTATAAACCTTTAAATTTCATTAACATTTCTAAACAAGACTTGAGGCGATAACACATGATGTTATAACCAATAGGTCTTTTATTCCTGTATTCAACAGTTTTACCTGTCATTCATAACAAATTACTTGCTGTGGCCTAATGGCGATTTAACGGTTCTTAGTGGGCGTTTGGATTTAATATGCCATTTTGGAAACGGTCGATCTCCACAACTGCACAATGTACAATTACTAATCATGTAAAGTAGCTCAGACCATTAGAGCACGATGTGAATGTACGTATGACCTGACTCCATCTCATTCTAAACGGGGTGAAATGTTTACATAAGTCCATATATCAAATATGCCAACTTTAAAATAGGCATTGAAACCTTATGGTTATACGTCACAATTTCATTTTTCCTATACCAGAAACTGTAAACGTATTCAAACAATCTCGATCTGAGTAGTGTTTAAACTTTTACCTTCCACATGTGCATGCACAAATGTATACAATAAAAAAAGGGAGTTTTATGCGAATTGTGCGTTTGATTGATCTTCTTTTTTTAATTTTATCAAACAAAACCGCGTTCTATGAAAGAAAAACATAATCCTATAATATGTCTCGATGTGAATAATACTATAACGTTACTGCCACGTGTGCATATATCTCTCTCAGTCCTCTTGTACGGCTATACAACTTTATTGTCTGTTCTATTTTTAATTAGCACTACATATTTCTTTTCTTGTGTACAGAATGGTTTTCCTGCTACAGGAAATGTTAGCTCTTAGTTCAAGAATTTTTTTCTTGTGTACAGATTGGTTTTCTTCTTACAAGAACAGTTAGATTTCAGTTCAAGAAATCTTTTCGTGTGTACAGAATGGTTTTCTTTCTACAAGAACAGTCGGCTCTTAGTTCAATAATGTTTTCTTGTGTACAGATTGGTTTTCTTCTTACAACAAGAACAGTTAGATTTCAGTTCAAGAAATCTTTTCTTGTGTACAGAATGGTTTTCTTTCTACAAGAACAGTCGGCTCTTAGTTCAAGACTGTTTTCTTGTGTACAGAATGGTTTTCTTCTTACAACAAGAACATTTAGATTTTCGTTCAAGAAATCTATTCTTGTGTACACAATGGTTTTCTAGTATAAGGGACAGAATGGCATTCTAGTTGCAAGAAGCCTATCTTAAGGCGAAGAAAAATTTCTAGGTGTAAGGTTACTTGTCCTAGGGGGAGAATTGTATTCTTAAAGCAAAGTATAGAATTAGAAGTAATTCTGCAAATATTCTGGGACAAATGCAGTTATCCGTTGTAAGCTAAGTGTAGATCCCAATAAACTCAAGTCTCTTGACATGATGGTACTTGTCAGGACTCTTGGCAGCGAAAAAACACGTCCTGCAGCTATAGGCACAAACTGCTATTCGGCTAAATCAGCACATCAGAAAACAGAGATAAAAGTAAACCAATGATTTTATTTAGACGTTCGATTAGTTGTGGCAGCCCTTCGGACCTTCAGATGGATCACATCTACCGTTTCCCTTACCGCTTCTGAAAGGTTTCCTCTCCACATAGACAGACGCCAAAGATCATCATACTCAAGGTCTTCTTTGCCGTCATGCTCTTTGCGACATCACAAAGTTCATTTTGATAGTCTAGTGAGAGAGTTTCATTGCTCAGACTACTTCCTTCTTGTGACAGATCTGTTTGAGTTGGAGAGCGATGATTTGCTTTCATCTACGTTTTCTAATGTGGTGATTTAGCTTGATAGCATTTCGTGATTCGGCAAGTGGTTTGTCTGGCGAAGGACGTGTTATTTTTGCTGTCGGGGGGGGGGATCTTAGTGGAGTGAGCCCATTTAAAGCAGCGCGCCCACCCACCGTCATTTTATACATCTCTCTGTACGTCTCTCTGGGCGTTTACTCCGGACTTTCTGTCTATACCTTCAACCCTTCCCCGGAGATGGCCCAGAGGTTAGATGGGATATGGTGTCACATGTGTACTTTTATGATGTAATGAATCTATACCCTCTACAGCGTCATCCATCGTCAATTCCAGAATAACACTTTGAATTAGGCTGCAATGTTTTACGAGAAGTACTTTTTAAATTCAGCGCGGTTGGAAAGGACCAATGGAACACCGGCCAGTATTTCTGACGTCATTACAGGGGTTACTTGTATTTGACACCTGTCCTCCAACACGTTGGCAGAACGTGCTGCGCCTGCGCGAAACCCTGATTTTTTTGTTGTTGGATGTTTGGTCAACATTCTGTCTGAACTTCTTCCGACACAACATTTGGAAACTACAGACGGGATGTTTACACGATTGAGATCGATGTAGACAGGAAGGACAGCAGGCTCGTTCCCAGCGATGGACACAAGGTGGATGCACCAAAGCGGAAATACTGCAGCCGTGCGGTTTTCCCAGGGAGTGCAGCAGTTTTTGAAAACGACTCTAGGACTGGATTTATTTATTTATGTATTTATTTATTAAGTTTTACCACGTACAATATGCACTGTGGACGGTATGGCGAAACAGGTGTTTCTGACATGAAACACCTTTTCAAAGCCGCCATACCAATACAATGACAAGACAATACAAAAAGTAATCAAATCACATAATACAATTTGAGAAACAAATGAATAAACTTAGAACTACAAGGCAAGTCAACATTGAGGGAGTTATTGATTCGTGACAACAAATAACGACAGTTATATAGCCAGCAGTGATATCACAGTTAGCGCGGTCTTGTGGCCATACAAGTAGCGCAACCACAAGATAACTGCCACGTACAGGGTTGCTCTAAACTGTAGGTTTGGCAAAATCTGCTGTACACAAATGAGGAGAGTTTCCTTTTAAAGGCAACCACATCAGTTAGGATTGAAGCCCTAATTCCTAACCCTCTAGTATCTGCATCAAGCTTGTTCCAAATCGTTGTAACACGTGGTATAAACGAAGATGCAAAAGAGGATGATTTTACTCTTGTTGGAGCTAGCATGTGTGCCCTAGAGCTGCGGGGTGTTCTTGAAGAGAAGTCAGCCAGCCTCGCAACATCCTAACCGAATCCAATTTCAAGCAGGGAAAGCCAACACATGGAGCGCCATTTTCTTGGATCAAGATCTTCTGAACCAGGCAAGAAAACATAGATAAAAATTCTTCATCAGCACCAGTGAACCCACCCCACTGTCATCTTGGATCGTCAATCTTGATTTTTTAAATTTTTTTAAAGAAACAGCCTAAAACACAATGCAACTGGACTAAAGATGTTCATATGAACGTTTTTTTTTTTAATTTGAAAAAAAAATACGGAGTTGTGATGAAAGCTTATAGCGAAAATAAAAAAAAACGTGGTTATACCAGACCTAATAATATAGTCAGCTATCTTAGATTTTGACTGGTGACGTCATACCTACCTACCTACCTAGTCCCATGACCGACACTGGTCGTCGGGGGGACAAGGCAGACTTTGCATAAATCATAAATATCAAATCATGCAAATCACCTACCTACCTTGTCCCTTGACTCTCCTGTGAGTTTGGGGGACAAGGCAGAAGCGATGATGACCGGTCGACCCGTGTTCATCTAGATCCCTCTCTCTGGAAATTACGTATGATGATATAAGATGTTATTGATGTAAGAAAGGACGTGTAAACAATTTTAATTATTTACACGTTTTTACTAACATAACACGTCTTTAATAACATCTTATATTTTCAAAAACCGAAAAACATGAAAACTTAAATGGATAAATCAAAATTACTGAATTTTCCAAAAACTGACTGTCGGGGTCGCGTGACAACACGAACATCTATTTACTTAGTAATACCTAACTGATATGGACTTATTGTCAGATATAAACTAAGAAATGTAATGATTACATGATATAAAGATAGATAAAACATTTTAAATGTACTACTTTTAAAAATGCGTTATTTGGCCAATCAGAATTGCTGTTAGTAACGCCAATATGTGGGGGAGCCTGTCTGAAAAATTTCCCCTAAACGCATCTTCTATTGGCTTCTTCAAGGCCAATGGGCGCCAATAGCAAACCAGAGTTGTCGGACGAGTCGTCATTGTTTACTACAGGTCTACGTGAGCTGCCTTGAGTGAGTGCACACTGCCAGGTCAGTACGCCTTATTTAGTCTTTAAAACATAGAAACAACACTTTTCACCTGTAGCTGTCATTTCTGTTGTCTGCCTGTCCTGAGATCAACTTTCGGCAGCTTTTCCTTGTGCTCGAAATTCTGTCTGTTCGGCTGTCTTTGGCACAGAAGTAAGGTATTCCACCTAAAATTTGAAGAAATATCTACTAGACTATGAGTATATTACATTGCAGTACGTAAAATGGCAATGTTGTGTAGAAGTAGCTCCCTGGTTGTTTGAATTTGCCCGTTTGCTAGCTATTATACTTTATGAACGCATATGGGCATGCGGGTGTATGAAAATCCATTTAAAAGTGAAGGACATCACGACAAAAATATGGCCGCCATGATGATATAGCCTGCAGCCAAATAACTTCCGCTTTTCTGTACAAATACGCTAAGAGTAGGGAATGGGTTGATGTCAGTACTGAGGTTTCACGGTGTTAATTTGACAAATGTATGAGAGCTTTCAGCAGTCTTTGTTGACTAAGTAGGTAGTCGTGTATATAAAGAGATTCCAGGCGAAACGTATAGCGAAACCAAGTTTGGTTTCGCAGGCGTCCATGTTGAAATTTGACGCTGTGTAGCCGCCATAATTGTTCTGGTCTGGCTGTAACAGGAACACTTCCGTTTATCGTTCATGATTCATCTAAAAAATAACATGATTGAACCCCCCGTAAGACGGTCGCGGGGAGAGACATGGGGCTATTAATGTATAAAAAGTATTCAAATTAAGTTCAGTTGACAAATTTATGAACGTTGGTTGAACGTACGACATGTGCTGCTTTTGTTTATTTTTATGCATTACATTACAGGGAAGAAAATCAGCTCTTACCCTGACTGACGGAAATCTGAACTTTATCGCGGACAATAAACGCTCCAGAATTTTCTCTACCGGACAATTTCAACATGAAGTAAGTCTTACTCAATGCCTTTACTATATTAAATGTTTCGTATGTTTGAAACCTAATCATTATCTCAATGGTCTTCTGGGTACACTTAAATTGTCTTAACTAGACAAGGTTACACACACACGCACGCACGCACAACGTGGTTACACACACACACACACACACACACACACACACACACACACACACACACACAAACACACATACACACATACACATACAAAGAAAGACAAATCCAGAAAACAGCTGAAGAACTAACTTTATACCTTGAGATAATTTAAACCCAGTGCCGGCTATGGGCGTCACCATTGGCCCATAGCCCTTTCTAATTTTCATGTGATTTCTATTATACGCTATCTAACGTAAACATCCGTAGAATTGAACATCTACTGTCATTTTACACAGTTTAAAGAGGACCTTATCCCGCCATGAAGGGGTGACGTAGTTACCGCAGTGATTAAAACTACAATCTTGTTCAGACAAGTCTCTTCATACTCGGATTGTTCCGTCAAATCACTGAGCTCAAAACATTAGCATACGTCCTTCCGACTGATCCAAACTAGCCATATCATACACAAATAAGAAAATCCCATCCTTTTATTTTCAGATTTTTTCTACTCTATGTTTTACTTCTTCTGATCTCAGCACTGGGAACAGATGCATTCTGGGGCCGTCGCCGCCGCAGACGTCTAGGTATACCAATTTTCTAAACTTATTAAAATGACAGCTAAACATCTTACATGTTGTGAGAACCTCCGTCCACTTCTTTATATAAATAACTCATGATGATAGCTGTAAATCTGAAACATGTAAAACGGTTAACACTCAGCCTAATAAAGCACATTTTAAAACTAGAAAGGCCAATATTTGCTTTGGAGCAAATACAGCGATGGGTTCACCACATTTTACGACATGGCAGGGAAAGAATGAGAAACACAAGGGAAAACAATGATTTACATTGATATAACTATAATATGAAGTAACATACAACTAAAACAACAGTTGGATAGCTATTCCCTACTTTATTGGTTAGGATTTTTAATTGCATAATGCAAACTGTTGATTTTCAAAATAAAAAAAAAACGTTCATGCCCCGCATTCCAATGCTGGAGCAGAAAAGCTTGAAATACCTACCAAAACACTTGAATAAAGACATACTGTCAGTATGGAAATGCTCTGTGCAGGTGTTATTAACAATCACATAAACTATGAAGCCCTACATTGAATAAGCTATACATATAATATGATTATCATAACCTTTATTTTTAAAATCATGCCAGTGAGCTAATTGCATGTACAGAGTGAAAGAAAGTAAAGTAAAGCAGTAGAATTTCTGTACTAGCTATGATAGTACTTCATATGATTCGTCCTCATCGTCATCATTCAATGTGGTCTATCTCTTGCTACTAGTGACTGGTAATACCTCTGTAGATTCTTCACACTGGCCCAATTTGCCCATTGTACCTCCATACCAAATTTCAGGACCTTAGGCCCTAAAATGAAGAAGCTGAATCCATTTAAAGATATGGCAGGAGGAGGAGGAGGAGAAGAAACATCAGAAAAAGCAATATGGGTTCACCACCACTTCGTGGTGTGGTGAACCCATAATTACAAACACCATGTAGCAAAAAAGGGGGGGGGGAAGAGTTCATTATACTTACCTGTAACTAAGCTCACAGTAAGTAAATTGTATGGATGGCATCCACGACAGACTCCAAAATATAATGCGAGTGGGCGAAAAAAACAAGACGGGCAACAAAAAAAAACATTCCTATATTTTGAAATTTTGACACCATAAACCCTGTTAAAGACTGTATTGTGCTTACTTTACTGCCAACTATCACAACATACATGAAAAAGGAAAGTTTTCAGTCATAGTACAAAGGGTTTTGATTCAGTGGGAACATATAAAAGGAATGAAATACTGCATCAAAGTAAAACTATTAAAAAACTATCAGATGACGCCATGTGCAACTTTGTGGTTTTACTTATTGGCCTATCTTATGTTGTATTTAACTTCAGACTTTTCCGTATTCATTCTAACTTCAGTCTGTCACGAGGTAGCAGAAGTTATCAAAAATGTGAACGTAACTTTCTGGCACCTGGCACCCTACTCATGTAGCTTTCCTGAAAACCGTCGGTTAGATGACGTCATGAAACTTCAGACCTGCCATCCTATCGTTGCTACTTTGGGAAGTTCATGCCATCTCACTTAGCTCTCGGTAGCCTCAAAACAACCCGTCGTTTTTTCGACAACTTCTGCCTCCCTAACTTTTGCCATATTACCCTGTTACTTGACATGACTCTGATTTATTTACGGGATGAGAATGGAACTCGATCTTATGGATTTGTCTTTTTGTTAGCACTGTCGGGCTGCCCTTTCCCACCACGACCAGCCTACAGTTCCAGAAGTGGATGTACCTCACCTTACACACAGGGGGAAATATGTCACTATGAATGCCACCCCGGGTACTATCAAAAGTCCGGCAACACAGACCTGACGTGTACTAACCGGAATTGGAATGGATCGAGTCTTGTCTGCAGTATGTATCAATTTTTACAGTAGTAGAAATATGAAATAATTGTTCCATGTTTCGTGCCTTCGCCAAATAATTTTAACTTTTCCCCCTGACGTACAGATTACACCCCTAATTTTCTCATTGATCATGCAGATTAGGTCCTTATTTTCATAAATTATGTCAGATAATAAAGGGTTAATGCCCCACCCCGAGGTGTATATTATGAGATAAATCCCTGGACAGGTGCGATAACCACCGAATAAACCACCAATTGAGGGTAGCAAAAAAGGTGGTTTATGAGATTGTTATCGCACTTGACCGTGGACTAACTCAACATATACACCCAGGATAAAACGGAGCATTAACGGTTTTATCATAGAGCCTAATATCCAACTAACACAGCTATCCCTCATACTATGCAAATGAGGTCCCTATTTAAATAAACAATGTTCATGATTAACTTTCAAATGCAGTAAGTATGAAATTTCAGGCTTTTAAAAGTCATAAATAGATTTATTATCTAATCATCACTGGGAGCGGGAAAATGGCGGAAGCCAATTTGTCGACGTTTGGTGCAAGCTGAAAGACATAACATGCATGATGTGATCACCGGTTTTATCTAACCTCTTGTTCCCCGTTAAAGGCCACGTAGCAAAAAGATTTTACAAGCAAAAAAGAAAAGAAAATACTTCTAATGCCCTTGCACCACAAAAATAGTGACGCGCGAGACGAATTTTCCTTGTTATCTACTTCTGTTATGTCCAAAATGGGTTAAGGGTTGTTCTAACTGCTGTGTTCTACTGGCCCTTTTCAGCACCGTTCGAATGTTCTACACCACCTACCCCTGCCAACAGCTACAGAAGAGGTTGTTGGCCCCCCTTCTTACACGGGGATACATGTTACTACAACTGTCTTTCCGGGTACTATCAGGGATCGGGAAATATCGAAAGGACTTGCTCTAGCGGAGACTGGACTGGCTCAGACCTGGAATGTAAAAAAGGTAATATACATCTTCAAGGCTAGCTATTAAATCCGCTGCTTTGGTGTGAATTGATAAAGGATGGTGTAATCTTTTGATAATGTTAAATGATATGTGTCATTAAAAGTTTTCAAAATTAGAATTTAAAATTCCCTAAAAAATTCTAAGTGATGAGGTGAACAAATCCCAACATGTCTTGTGCTATGTAAAATTTTCTATTACACTGAATTCACTTCTTCGTCCTTTGCACACATAAAATCAGCCATGATAATTATTTCCTTTTTATAACATCTTTTCCTTTTTTTAACATCATTTCCTTTTTTTTAACATCATTTCCTTTCATTACGTTCATTTCTTTCTCAATTATTGGGTCATGTGTATTTAACCCTACCTAGACCGGGCTTTTTTTGACATGGGGGACCGGGGGGGGGGGCTCTTTTGGCCCCCCCCTAAGAACTCGCGAACGGTATGTCGTATGACCACCAAATTTTCAGAGAATGGTGTACTAGTAAAAAATTATCATAGCTACAATTTTTATGTCGTTACGTAATATGACGTCATTATGACGTAATTAATGTGATTTTATTGGCCAAAACCGTTTTAACAGGTTTTTCCCTGAAAACTAAATGGCATTCAACATAACTGTACCAAAAGTGTTTATGACAGAATATTATGGTGTACTAAGTCTTATGTTGCCCATAGCAACACCGGTGACGTCATAAGATGACGTCATGCATATTTAAGATATCCGCCATCTTGGATCATCAATCTTGAATTTTCAAAAATAGTTTTTTTTTCATAATAAAGCCTAAAATACATTGTAAACATACTAAAGACCTTCATTTAAACCTTTTTTGGAAAAAGAAATGGAAGTATTGATGAAATTTTAATGAAAATAACCTGTAAATACCTGTTCTCATGATATGGTCCGCCATCTTGGATTTTGGCCAATGACGTCATCAAATTAGCATAAATTATACATATTTAATGATAAAATTTACATAAAATTATATGGGATGCTATTAATATTAGAAACCATGAGTAACTTGACATAAAACTCATAAAATTCTATTGTTGAAACAGAAAGTACTAAATTTAGCAAAAAATGCCTGTCAGAAACCCGTTGCCATGGCAACACAAAAAATTATTATCTTATTCCAATGATAGAGAATTGTTGCCAACCATATTCTAGGAAAAGTCACCAAGTTTGGCCGTTCTATGGCTAGCCGTTCAGACGCTAGGTGACATCAAAGTTGCCGCGGGCACTTTTAGCCCCCCCCCCCGGTCTAGGTAGGGTTAACACATGCACAACCCCCTGTTAATCCTAGAATGTAATTATCAACATATTAAATACAATGCGTTTCATAATTTTTCATGATTAAAATATGAGAACAACATCTTTGTAAAATATGTTGTTTGGGTTTATTGACAAGTTATTGAGATGCATTAGATTATACGATGACTAGTAATTCCGTTTATACTTTTTATGGATTGAACAAACTGAAACTTCAGGGTAAACCGTTGTATAATAGATAAGTATAATAGATAAGTAGGTTGTCATGGCAACATTTGGCGTGATTTGCATAGAATGAACAGCAAGTCAGTAACAATTTAATGTTATAGGTTATATGTGTTTGCTCTATTTACAGAAAGTTTATTCTCACCAAAGGAGAATTTAGACGTCGAGGTGATCTGGACATACCAACTTCAAGATGGCATTTTACCTCTGTTTGAGAATTGGAAGAAACTACCAAACATTGGAATAGCAAGTAGAACTACAGCAAACGTGTACATGTCAGCTTTATACGTGGTAAGTATTTTCATCAAGGGCCACGCTTTGAGTAACTATATGTCTGGGCGTTCCAGATAAAGCCAGTACTTCATTTTATCTATCCGAATAACATAAGTCCCAAAATATTAAGATAACGTATTTCCTGATTTGCCTAGCATTCATGTTCATGTAAAACTGTAACAGTTGTGTGTCTGTATTTTCGTTCCGCGTAACCACCTTTAGGCTCAACACACCAGTTTTGTAGGGTAAGTTTACGATGGGGTCGTAAGTTTTAATCACATAGGGTTCAACGGGACCTCTACTTTATTTGATAAATGATTTGGTCGAGGTGTCGTTGACCACTTATTTATTCATTTATTTATTTCATCATAAGACGGCTGGGTACCCCCAATCAGCTTACATTAGCTGTTTTCCAGGGGGGGGGGGCAGGAAAATTACACGACAAGACATTGTTACATACAGTAAAACAAGAGTGGACAACACACAGTAAACATACAAGTCCGATGCGTCAAAACAGAGTCATAGTCCTATACTAGAAGTCCTAGCCTAACCACTTATCTTACTTTGGTCCTATCTACGATGACATAAGCTAGGTATTCGTTTATACCTGATTCGATTGAAGGAATACAGGTTATGTGCCTGTCTTTGCATACACCGTTCCTCATAAGCTGAAAAGCTGTCTGTCAATGGGAATTCGGACACATGACCTTATTGTTTTTATATCATGAGATGAAGTGTCGGACGACTCAGTCTGCTAGTACGAGAGGAAAGTTTGGAACCACTAATCTACAAGCATAGTATTACGCACATGTAAACACACACACACACACACACACACACACACACACACACACATGTATACATATACCATACGCGCACACACCGACTCGGAGACAAACCTTTACATTCTACATAATTAAACCAAATTGTAATTCTGTTTTTAAGGGTCGAATAGAACTGTTCGGACAAGCAAGCCTCCGGCTGAAAAACGTAAGTTTGTCTGACAAAGGGGTCTATCAACTTTTCACCGTGTTTTCTGATGGGACATCACAGACTGTCACCGCATCGGTTGAAGGTTGGTTCTAGCAATAGATTATTAATGAATTTTAATGAACTTTTACGCGTTTATGTAAGTGTACGTGTTTTTTTTCATATGAAATGATACGTCATTTGTATAATCTATATTACCCAACATTAAAATGCCTTATTAAGGTTATTGAAGCAATATAGTTTTTAACGTCAGAACGTCAAAACCTAACTTCATACACTTATGATAATCAATTTAAAAAAGCATGAGTTATGGGGCTAAAGCTAGTCAAAACCACACAGAGACACTTTTCTATATCTATATATTTTCATTGCTACTTTCTTTTTAAAAGGCCAGTATCTGTCAATGTCAGCCTCTAATGCATTGTTCTGGTGAAACATGAATCAGGTTAATTAGACATATGTCTAATGACATATATCTCTATTAGTAGACGACCCGTGTGAGAATAACACCTGTTCCCCGGACGGTGGGAGATGTGTACCACACGGGAACAACTTCACGTGCATGTGTGATCCTGGCTACGTCGGTGACGGACGGATTTGCACAGGTAGAGCAACCTATTTATCTCTGAAGAACTTCTTCGGTCTCAAATCTACATTGAGAATATCATATCATGTTTAGTGTGATTAACATAAACAGAGTCAAATTATTGATACTGAATCCTTCTTTTAAGAAAATATATGATATATATAACTGATATATATCAATAATATAATATATACTAATTTTCAGAAAATTCCTATCTAAAAAAGGCTTACGCGAGGCGTTACTTGATCTAATCATTTAACATAATGATTGTAACTGATATAATGATTTTTGAAACTGGTAAAATTTATGGCATTGAAATTTTTGTCATATATTTCTTTAGAAGTAACAACGCAGAGTGGAACAACAATCCCTACCACAAATGTGATGAAAGAATTTCCCTTCGGATTTACAGAGCTACAGGCTACAGGTATAGACTGCAAGCGTTTTACTTTTGCACAGAATTGCAACTCTAGCTATTCCCCTTACCGCTTCTCCTTCGTAACTAGTTACCAACTTTAGAGAAATACAAATTGTTTTACGAATAATGGACCAGTAGACATTTTAACTCCTTGGATTATCTATCCAGAAAAATCGTTTTATTGTTTCTCAGCTGAAATTCCGCCTACCATTGGAGACAGTGCGGTGACGACAGCTGCTAGGAAATCATCAGTCAGAAACACTACAGGTACATCATATATTAATTTTGTAGCACTGTTTACTACTGCAAAGGATTGTAACTTAAGCCCTTTATCGTTATCAAGTATACGCCATTTTCAATTGCTTTGTAAAACAATTTTTTTTTAATTGGCGGAAGGTTTAGGAGTATTAATAAATACACGGCTGTTGTATTGTTTTGCAGCTGGAAGTCACAGTACCCTTGCAGGAAATGGGATGACGAAAACTATCCAGGGATCCGTCAGAAACACTACAGGTAAGTCTGTAGCATTGTTTAGCCAATCATAGATTTGTCATTTTAACTATGCCAAGACCATCTTTTTCTCGTATCGATATAAGTTTTAAAGACATTGACAAATAGTTTCATTGCTTACAGCTGGAAATCTGATATCCGAAAAATTCAACAATGTAACATCCGCTGCCGAGGGATCCGATGCAGAGTTTTATTGGAATTACCAAGAAAAGGACAACACTGAAGTGATATTTGAGGCTTGGTGGTTCAAAGTGAATGGTGATGGCCTGATGATTGCTAGTCGTGTGCATCCGTTGAATACATCTGTTTCTCCAAGATATGAGGTGGGTACGACCGTTATCATAAAGACACCTCTTGATATATTAAACACAAATTACTCATGGACTTTTTGATAAATCAACAAAATCAGATAAACATAACGTAAGCACAGGGAATCTGGTTACATTTCAATGTTCTAACGCTGCTTACATACATACAAACTTACAATAGAAACGACTGGAAGCATTTGGTGACGCAGGTCTCCTACTCAGAGCAGTACGACTAACAGACGCTGGGACTTACGAATTGCTGGTTGCCTTTGATGATGCTTCAGAATCAATAAGGAAGGACAGTCACCTTGTAGTGCACTGTAAGTTTTTTTTTAATTCATTTGCTGTAGAGAAGGACAGGAAGTTACACAACTGTGGCTGTTATTTTCCATTGCCTAGATAATCACAACTACAAAGCTACCACACTAATGTCACTTAACAGCCATAAAGGTAGCGCCGGATATTTTTTAATCAGAAAAAAAGCAGTGCTCGTAGGGATTGTCATGATTCTTAAAATCAATTGTAACAAACACGTTTCTAATGGTTTTATGTAGACCCTCCAAGATTTCTGGACATCACTCCAAGCGTAACTGCTGCAAGAGGAACCCAAGTCATACTGCAGGCTCACGCTAGCTGCATCCCGCCGCCGACATACTCTTGGATAAAAGTCAATGGCTCAGTTCCAGAGACATCTATCGAAAACACAACAACTGGAACTCTCACATTGAGAAACATCGGCCAGAAAGACAGTGGTACATACATGGCCATTGCTAGTAATTCTCTTGGAATCGCATCGAATCTATCAGTCCTGAAGGGTAGGTATACCACTGAAAGGCACCAATTACTTCTTTAGCACCTCATCGTTTGAGTAAAATGTCTTTCAATAGATTTTTTTTTACATTTTATATTGCGTAGATATTACTTTATCGGTGGTCTACGCACCGCATGGGGATAAGGGCATAAGTAAGTAAGTATAAGTAAGTAAGTAAATAAGATATCACTTCTAAGAATGTTTGAAAGTATCACTATTCTATTTTGTTGATAATAGTTGAGAACCTTCAAGAGGACACGTCGTCCGAGGGTACGTGTCGTTGATTATTTTGCAATAATACACATATTATCCGCAAAATAGACTACATTGACAATGAAAACTTGTGTAATAAACGTTTTATTATATTGATAAATGTTCTTTTTTTCGGAAACTAACAAATTGTATTCAATACCAAAGGCATTCGAGCAGATAATATGATTGAATTGTTACTTTATTTACACTAGTAGTGTTCAGGTGAGATTTTTCGATGATGGTTGAATCACATACTAGTGATACAATAGAATCAATTGCTAAGCCATCTACATATAACTGCATATTTCCTCTCTCCAATGGTAGGCAGTATGTATGATTTTGTTATTTCTCAAGAACGCTGATGTATTCAATGCCAAGAATAAGGGGGTGCTCATTGTTGTATGCACTTGTCAAATTCACACAGCAGAATTTTCCATCGAAGAAGTTCTGACAATTGCAGCTGTGCCATGTGTGACAGTACTGTCTGTAATGGCGGGCGTACTTTTGTACTGTTGGATTCGGAAGCGCAGGAACAAGGAACAGACCCTAGACATGTCAGAGGTGACGTTCCACCCGGATCTGCCACGTGAGTGTCATTTTAACGTTTTTACAACCTAGTCGGTATTATTGAGGGAATCATAGTTGTAAGACTCCTCTTTGTTGAGCAACATTATATTTCATAATCCACTAGCCCTGAGGACGCGTGAGTAGTCCAAATACAAGGCACATCCGACAGTACAACATTAAAAACAATGTCATGCTTTTAAGGATGACATTTTAAAATACTTTCTAAGATCTTTATCGTACAAGGCACTAAAACAACTTTAAGGGCTGTACATAAATGACACGTATTTTTTTTTAAACCTATGTGTTAAATGGTTCTATATAGTTTTGTTACTGAGTGATACCAATGACTTACATGTGTACCAGTGGTTGTGATTAAACTACTTTATATCCGACTTTTGATATGTCCGAGTTGACCCCCGCCCGCGGAACCTCAATTTCCCATCCAAGCCAGACTAGCGGGGCCCAATAGGCGGGCAGCATTTCGGCCACACCCACAGCCCGCGCTTTAGCAAGATATGGTTGAAAAAGATGTATATTAAACTTGTTCAAAAGATACATTTGTAAATTGTTTTCTGAAATTCTGTGTCTTTGAATAGCTGGAGCAAAATAACTACCGAGCCGAGTTAAACCATTTCAGCACTGGGCTTCTCAGTGGTGCTTACGACAACTTGATTGTACGAAGAGCATGCGTATAGCAACGTAAAGATACCGTCTCAGACTAACGCGCGGTCTTTTCTCTAGCATTACCAGCGGCTCTGCCCCAGCCTCCCCCTACTCCATCCCGGCCACAGTTCCTGAAGTACGAGATCAACAGGACTGATCTAGACGTGAAAGAACGGATCGGTAGCGGCGCCTTCGGTTTAGTCTTTCTGGCTTCGTTAAGAAGACTTGTCAATGGTCTCCCTACAGACAAAACTGTAGTGGTGAAAACTGTACATGGTAGGTCGATGCCAACAGGACATAACTAAGACTTGTCTGAGCATTCCTGCTTTCATTTAACTAGTTAATTTCTTCCAAAGTTGACGCAGACTTGATTAACAAAATTCTTATAATGATTTTTGTTCTATATTTGCAGAGGATTCTGGAGAAGAAGAAATTAAAAATTTCATACGAGAGATCGACACCACTATGAACCTGACAGAACATATTAATCTATTAGGTCTGATTGGCTGCGTTACGGTGACGCGCCCTCCGTACATGGTGACAGATTATATGCCATACGGAGACCTGAAGAATTTCCTGCTCAAGTGCAGGAAGGTAAATCTTGAAAGACTTTTTTAATTATAGATCTTTTCCCCTTAAATTGCGTACAGATATATTTATGCGTCTGAACAAAAAGCTGCACCGATTGGGGCCCAAGGTATAAATCTCCAGAATTGTGAAAATGAGAATGTGAAGATCATTCAGAAATATCATTTGATTAAGTTTGAGACGTCAAATATCTCTTAACTAGATATTGTACAACCAAGATTGTACAACAAAGATTATTTTTTATCAAATTTATTTAAAAATCGTTCTTATCTTTTATCTTTACAGTGCAGCGTCGTTGTGGCTTAAAGATTTTAACAAATAGTAACACCGTTCTAACTTGATGTAATTAGATGTTCCGAATTACTTCTAATATAATATTTTTGTTTAATCCGCAATAAAGTTAGAGGAGAGGCGCCGAGACAGCACGTATGACCTCACAGAGTTTAACATCTACCAAGTGACTCGGCAGATAGCGAACGGAATGGTAAGCCGATGATAATTTGCTTATCAGAAGATGAAAATTAAGCAGTTTATCACGGTTCCTAAATAATATTAGACCGCTATTGGTTCATAGTTTGTATTACATATGATATATTTCAATTTTCTAATGTTCCCATTAGACCTTCATTTCTCAAGCTGGATACGTGCATGGTGACTTGGCTGCGAGGAACGTTCTCGTGGGAGAGAATTTAGTGGTGAAGATTGCTGATTTCGGCCTAACTACAGACATCTACGAGCGGGGTTACCAGCGGCAGGACGCGGAGCAGAAGATCCCGCTGCGCTGGATGGCACCGGAAAGGCTTTTACGTGAAGGTCGATACACCAGTAAGAGTGACGTGTGAGTATATTTTTTACCTTCGCCAAAAGGTCACGTTTTCGTGGTGGTGCGTTTTCGTGGCTCTGTGTGTGTGTGTGTGTGTGTGTGTGTGTGTGTGTGTGTGTGTGTGTGTGTGTGTGTGTGTGTGTGTGTGTGTGTGTCGTGTCGTGTGTGTGTGTGTGTGTGTGTGTGTGTGTGTGTGTCTGTGTGTGTGTGTTGGTGTGTGTTTCCGCCAGGCCCTTAGGTCAGGTTGTAATGGATACGGTTGGGTTGTTTCCTTTGCATGGCAAAGAAATAATCTACTACTAGTAGATATTTTATGGAGGTCTGAGATCTCCGAATTCTTTTTTTTATACATTTCACTCTAGGTCGATCAAAGAACATGTCTCTGACGATGGGAAGAATCTG